TGCTTTCCACAGAAAAATGGACAAAGGATCAGGTGACTGCAGAGTTCCCACACACACATGTCCATTTATTCAGAAGTGCACTTTTTTCACTGAACACACATCTGTACAAACACACACTGCTCACACTCTTTGAGCAAAGACAGAGTCTCAGCATGCATGGCATTCAAGCTATGTGTGTGTGTGTGCGCGTGTGTGTGCGTGTGTGCGTGTGTGTGTGTGTGTGTGTGTGTGTGTGTGTGTGTGTGTGTGTGTGTACAGCTTTGTACAATTGTAGCATTTAGAAAAATCCTGATTTACTTAGGATGGTCTTGCAGCATATGGAAGCGTCCACAGTTGCTGACCGATGGAGAGACAAAGGAATTCCAGTCCTCTGGTGCTAAAAAACTCAATTCAGATCTGGTCTTAATGGCTCAGCTGTCCTAACCAAAAGGAAGGGGAGAGAATAGGGTGCCTTGTGATTTTCCCCCTTTTCACCCTCACCCTCCCTCGCTTTTCTTCTTTTTTTTTGTGTGCCTGAATCTTTTATCTGTCTTATTCACTCGGGACTCTTCAAAGTAACAAGCCTGCTTCTTTTTCCCCGGTACTGGACTTGGAACCCAAATTAGAGACTGCTTGATTAGAGCAGAGAGGAGCGAGCCAAGAGAGAGGGAGATCTGGGTACTGGACAAAACAAATCTCACCCCTACAAAGTGCCTTTTATCCTAGGACCCCAAGGCTCAAATACCCCCGTCCATCCCCGAGCAACCGTGGCTCGGCTTGTTTTTCTCTTATCATTTATTTAGTCATTCGTTGATGTTTTCTGCCCTACTTTGTGACGTTTAGATGAGGCAGGAATCTCAAAAGGTGAATGTTAAATGGGCTGGAGCTGCACAGCGCAGCTTTATAATCCCCTCCTTCTGTGAATCGATGGAGAATAGCTGAAGTTAGCTTGAGAAAACAAGAAATACGCCAGTGCACTTTGACCACCCACTCCTGGTATTGTCCCGGGCCTCACGCGTCTACCAGGGGGATGTCACAACATGTTAGGTCTGGCCTGGCTGCCGGGGTTTACGTGGCTTCATGGCACCTCCGAGCTGTCTGTCTGCCGTCGGAAGCTCAATGTGACGAGACATGTTAACAGGCAGACCCCAGCCCAAACGCTGTTAAAAGCCATGCAATATGCAGGAAACGGCCTCTTTTGTCAGCATGCCGGTCAGACGCAGACCACGACGCTACTCTTCGGTACCACCCAATAAAAGTTTTATCCGCATTTTAAAGCTGATCCATAATTTAAAGCGGGAAGAACACAGATTTTAACACTAACCAGCCAACAAAACACATATGCCTCTGATTTTCTGCTCAGCTGTCTGAAGTCTCCGAGGTGAAATACCTCCATGTTCTATGAGGACATCGTCATGAACTGCTCTTGCAGAATCTTGCAGATGTTTAAAATTGTTACAGACGAATAAAATGAGGCATTGCAGCAGAGGTCTTGATTGAAGTAAAGAAATCTGAGTTGAAGAGGATGCTTTGGGCTTCCCACAGTTCAGCTGAGCATCAAAACAATGGGCCCTCTGTTGGTATTCTTGTGTTGGCTGGGCAGGATGAGGCACCCCACTCTCAGGGTAGTCCATCAGACCCTTTACACACGTCATTCTGCAAATTCATGCTCAGAAGACACATCAGATCCGATACATTCCACATATTCTTCGGTTTAAAAAAAAAAGAACATCTGATGTTGATTCCTAAAATAGGGCGTTGCATGAAATCTACGTGGTGAGCTGGAGTGGGGGGCCAGATCTTGCATTTCACCACTTCAGTCAGTGCATTTACATGCACATCAGAAAACCAAACTGTTGCCCTGAATAGACTGACGTCTTTTTTAAATGCATGTAAACACGTCGGTCTTGCTGAAGGCAAACTGGTTGTAATCGCGAAACACCCAAAAAATGTGCTTGGAAACAGACTGCATCTGTGTATAAATGGTTCAGTCAAGCTAATGCCGGAAACGTCTGGAAGTGACGAGATCGCAGATGCAGTCTTCTGACAATATCATCACCACAAAGCAGCACGTTAAAACCATCAAACAGTAGAGTACGAACCAAATCAGCTGTGCTGCAGCGTTGTCCCTTCCTTCGGCCATTGTGAACATCTCTTTAACTTTGCGTGCTTCACTTCTGACCAGAAGAATGCCAAAACAAACGGGTGCATGTCGCCACTGTTGGGTTATAATTGTATCTTTTTGAGGCCTAAAAGATGCCCAATTTGTGTTATTAACACTTCATGAATCTCTGTGTTTGCCAACTGTGGCTGTTCATGAAAGGTTGAGCAGAGTAGCTCGTTTGCAGTCAAGGATGTTGATTGTGGATTTCCAAAGAAACTTCTGTACCTCTGTAACCTGAGAAGGCCCCGCCTTCTCCATCCTTTGCTAAATGAAACCCCTGGCAAACTGAACACATGGGAGTAACGTGGGGGACAGCCTCGGAGGAGGTTCCTCTGCGTTAACTCTCCATTATTTTGGGGACTCAGGGTAAAATGTCTTCCTTGTTGTCATGTGTGTTATTTCAGGTTCCAGGGTTATTACCCCACATTTAATTACCTAACATTTTGGTGGAGAATGCGGGCATGCAGATCTGGTGAGCTGAAGGCTTTCCCCAGGAGCAGAGGGGGCCTGGTTAGCTCCACGGAGGGGGTTTCTGCGCCCAGCTCTCGCATGACGATTCATGGACATTACGAATAATCAATCTACTCTCTCTCTGTGTGTGTCGTCCTTTAAGGTAATATGGGATAAAATTAATTACCTATCAGCCACCTACTGTACCGCAGTGGAACAAACTTCATTTGAGAGTCTGGTTTTCTAACGCGCATGTAAATTAGTATAAAGGCTCCCAGTTTATTACTTAGATCGACTTAGATGCTCATGTAAATGCACTGAGTGTCATCTTTCATCTGGCTGATTTTGTGTTTTTTTATTTTTTTTTTGGGGTCTGGGAACCCTCCTTTTCAAATAACCCCACCCCTTGAGAATTCTAACCGAGCCATTCAGCGGTGAGCAGCGTACGTCACACACCACGACGCTCAGTTTTTCATGAACATGGCGACTGAAGCAGAGTTCGCTGCGGCTCTTTCCTCTGTTTGAAATGACTTGGACACGTCTTTAAAACCACAACAGGAAGAAGCGCTAAAAGCCTTGCTTCTAAAGAAAGATGTTTGCACCGTCGCCAGACGTTATTTTTCACTAAGGCGCCACACGGTACACTTCAGCCTTGTTTCTGATTGGTTATTTTTGAGCTGGCTAGTCCCACCCCTCGTGTGCCTCTCTGCCTGTGAGTAACCAGACTGGTTTTCTGTGTCAAATTAAACAGAGGACTAGTCTGGCAGGTCAGGCTATTCGTCCTTTCCATCCAGCTGCAGTATCGATAGCTGGGATTTACCGTGACGTCACCCGATGCGTCTCGTCGGTTACCGGTAAAAAAAAAATAAAGCAGCAGCTCCATCATAGCCACAGCCAAAGGTTAATAAAACTGGTGCTGATTGTATCAATTTTACAGATAAACCATTCACAACAAGTGTAGTCGGGTGAATGAGAAGTCAATTCAGGCCTTGGAGACAGCACACGGGCCCGATGAATAGCTGCTTTTAGGTTCCTCTTTCTTTTTTTTTTTTGGTTAGGATAAATGGAGAATTGCAGCTCTCTTCTATTGCAGCAGGCAGTGGAGGCAGAGCGGGGCGAACGGAGCTTCAGACAAGCCTGCCAGTAAATTGCCCTGAATGGGTTCTGGAGGTTGACAGGCCTTATTAAGACAAACGGCTTTCCTCATCGGAGAGATAAAATAAATCAGGTGTTTAGTCAAATTAAAATAGTTTGAGTGGAGAGGGCCCCTGGGAGCTCTCGGAGAAACTCAAGACAGATGTGGTCAGAGACGAGGGGAAGACACCCAGGAAGGAATTCAGCTTCCGCTGGCCCCAGGCCAGTCTTTGCTGTACTATTATTTAGATCCCGATGCTATTATCCCTCTCCTCTCCCGCTGCCTTTTTTTTGGTCGGGTTTCCTATCAGTTTTCCCTCGTGTTCCCTGGGATCAGCTTGTCACACGGGAGTGCAGTAGGAGGGGAGTGAGTTACTGTCTAGCCTCTCACTGGCAATTATGTTGGCTGTGTAAGTCAATGGTAGGATCACTTAGCATTGATTAGGCGTAGAGAGAGAGAGAGAGAGCAGTGCAGTGGAGCAGCTCTCTCTCTCTGTCACACACACACAGTGGTCATGAGGCCACAGAGAGAAAAATAAACAATAGTTCTGTCGTTGTTTTTCTGTTTCACAGATGTGCATGCAGCGTGCTGACCAAAATCACAGCTGGAAAGTTGCTATGATGCATCCACAGATAATACAACACTTGGTGTGCAAAATAATGAACATTGCCATGTGACATTTTGACAAGTTAGAGCCATCCATTCTGCAATGAACTCTGATGCACCGGTGTGATCGCTGTATCTGTAACCTGTACAGTTTAGAGGCCGGGGAAACCAGGGACTCTTAACACCTCTCCTATAATAACCCGTGGAAGTCTGACACCTTGGTTTGACGGCTCCCTGCAGCTCTTTGTCTAAGCGCCAGAAACAATTCCTTCTCTTTCTTCCTCTGAAAGCCGCGAACAGCGGCTACAGCAAAAATCCTCAACTCCAGGCTGTGTGTGACCTTAACACTTTCTAGTGAATTCACTGCAGTCGTTTGCTTCCTGCGTGCTTTTCTTTGTGTTAAATATTGTGTCACTACAATAGCACAATGCGTTGATTGGTGGTGTGTTTTGCAGCAAGGCCACTTTTCTAAATTTAGCCGCGTTCAAACTCCAAACTCCTCACAAGCTTTCCTTCCAAAAGGCTGGTGACTAAATGACAGCAATGAAAAAAAATCTGAGTTCTTTCTTTTCTTTTTTCCTGTTTATAGTTTAATTTTTGTTTATCAGCTGTTAATGTGTTTATTTATTCCAGCTCTTGACCTTGATCTCTCCTATTGATCACCAGGTACTCCGGAGAGCCTGGCAGAGAAGGAGCATCAGCTCTCCACAATGATCACCCAGCTGATCAGCCTGCGAGAGCAGCTTCTGGCTGCACACGACGAGCAGAAGAAGCTCGCTGCGTCACAGATGGAAAAGCAGAGGCAGCAGATGGAACTGGCTCGACAGCAGCAGGAGCAGGTAATCGCTCAGTGGTATTTTTTATTCACAACATTCATTGTCATCCCTCCTCAGTCTCCATCCAACCACCCATTGTCTTCTGCTTGTACGGGGTCGGGTCGTGAGGGCAGTAGCCTAAGCAGAGAGGCCCAGACTTCCCTCCTCCCAGCCACTTGGGCCAGCTCCTCCGGGGTAATCCCGATGTGTTCCCTGGCCAGACAAGAAACAGCGTGCCCTGGGTCTTTCTTTAGGTCTCCTCCCGGTTGGACGTGCCCGGTAAACTTCACCAGGGAGGCGTCTAGAAGGCATCCTACCCAGATGCCCGAGCCATCTCCACTTGCTCCTCTCAATGTGGAGGAGCAGCGGATCTACTCTGAGCCCCTCCCGGAGAGCCCAGACACTCTGCGGAGAAAACTCATGTCAGCTGCTTGTATCATTGATCTCATTCTTCTGGTCACTACCCAAAGCTCATGACCATAGGTGAGGGTTGGAACGTAGATCGACCGATAAATCAAGAGCTTCACCTTCTGGATCAAGTCCCTCTTCACCACGACCAACCGGTACAACGCCCGCATGACCAATCCGCCCATCAATCCCACGCTCCATCTTTCCCCTTACTCGTGAACAAGAACCTGAGATACTTAAACTCCTCGACTTGAGGCAGGACCTCGTCCCTGACCCGAAGAAGGCATTTTGCCATTTCACAACTCAAGACCACGGTCCTCCTCAAGCTTATTTACTTTATTACTCTTCCGATTTCAATAATAAACCTCATTAAAGCCATTTGCAACAGAGTTATCACCTAACTGTTGTATTTCATGCTTGAAGTGTGCCAATAAAATCTTGGAATTCAGGATAATAATATTACGTTGCCGTCTGCGTTGCCTCCAACGTTTCGGTCATGCTCTCTCACTCGCATTTATGCTGCGTGCTGGGAAAAATGTTATTATGACTTGTACCAACAAATGGAAGCCAATGTGTGAATTAAACATTATATTAAACACGGGAAGTCCTCCGTATCTTATAAATCGACTCCTATTATAACAAGGCGGGCATTAGATTTGCAGCACAAATCAGGCCAATGAGCCATATTGTACAAATCAGCAAATTAGCACAGGCCATGAAGTGTGTTAATGTCTGGGAAGAAATAAGGACACAAACTATCCACACGGGCGACACTTTTATTATCAACAGCCACTCTAATGGCTATGAGTCAATTATCAGCGAGGAGTTCACTCAGAGTTTTCTCTCAGCACACTCCCAGACCTCCCTGTTGTAAATGAAGGGATAGACCACCTGCCTTAGTGATACATTTGGTCACAGTACACTAATAATACATTAAGAGTATTGATTTCTTCCCCAATCCGTGATGTTCATTTGCAAACTACGCATGACTCTTTAGGTTTTGTAGACATATCAGCATGAATAAGCAGAGATCTAAGGAACTTGATCTTATTTTGGAATGAAGGAATATTATTAAAATGGTAGTGGGGGGGGAGGGTGGTGGTGTAGGAGAGTGGGAAGGCCCGCTGAGAGCCAGAATGTCATCAAGCCATCAAGATACAACACCGTAATTAACTGTTGACACTCGTGAGGAAGCCAGCACAAATTAATCTTGACACATTTGCAGACGGCAGATATCTTACAGCGAACGCTTTGTAATTATATTTAAAATTGAAAATTAAACGACACTTAAAACTCGGTTGTCATGCTCAATGAAGTGAGCATGTAGAGGGAGGCAGTGGCGGGACGAGAGAGGGATTGCGGTGAAGATGCGCATCACTCAGGGGCAGCAGGGACTTCTGTCAGTCACACTCCGCCTGCACCAACGGTCTCCATCATAACCACACTTGTCTGTCTTGTAAATCATTTAGTCTCCTCCAGCACGAGTTGGTGCTGCGTACTTCTGCGCGGGTCGTTTTATGTTCATTAATAGTATCTAATTGTTTGTCGTTGTCAGAATGCAGAAATCTGCTTTTATGTAAAGGAGCGTTTTTCTTTTATTGATTTTTTAAGATATGAAGAAATAAAGGTGTGGATTACTCTTTTGTAGTAGGAATGAATGCCTTGCAGTCAGAACTCAGGGCACCGGAAAGCCCACAACCCCCTAGCCAAGCAGGGCCAGTTTGTGACATCAGAGCTGAGCTTCGAACGGGAGGATTTTATTTCCTGATATTTAGATATCTTGCCTCGGATTGGATAAAAGCAACACGACTCTACCACTGACTCTGTTTGCTCGGGGGACATGAATGTTTTACCTCCACAAATACAAGCGTGGAGGAGCGTTGAGTTGCTAATCCTAGCTGCTAGCTTTTGTTAAAAGAGAGGTTCTCTGTTTATTCCGGACGCTAAAACAGCAACAGCAATCCCTGCCGTGCGTCACAGTAGCATAGATCTACGAAGCTTTTCAAATCCTAGAGTTTCATCGTCTAATTTCTATTAGAAGCTAATGCAGGAGATAGGTGTAGGAGACTATTTTCATGTTCAGCCTGCATTAAAAACTCAGATTAACTGATAATTAGAAATTATCATGAAGAAATCGTTTTTCAGTCAACTTCATCTTTAATATCCTACCTTTGTAAATATAGTAGCTCTTTGAATAACAGACTTGAAGAAACAGATCAGTTTTAAACAAACAAATTAACTAACGGCTTCTCTAAGTGGGGCTAAAACCAAAGTGGATTGCTTATGTCCTTACAGAACAGTAATCTCCTAATTTTAAATGATTCATGTGGACATTATTAATTATTATAACAATTTTATATTTCATGTGTAACTTGGCAGAAATGTTGAAAACAAATATGAGCAAAAATGTCACAGATAGCTAGCTCTGCTGCTAATTAGCACTGCAAATAGCCAAAAACTTCTACATAAATTAACATTGTATGTGAAATGTAAAACAATATAAAGTTTAATGATCTTTATCAACAAGGACTGCTTTGGATATTTTAGGACCGAAACTGTTCAAGGCAGCACAAGTTCATGTGATTTGTAACTAGCCGTTAGCTCGTCAATCTGAGCAGAGCTAATCCATATTTCACCAGATTTAGACAGCAACAGGTGTAAATAAGTGAACTATCTTTTACAGGCCGTGCTCTGAATGGGTCTTTTCTCTTCCATGGAAAGTTGCCTGGATTCTGCATAACTTTTAAAATTTTCATGATGAAGTGAAAAAAGTCTTCATTGATTCAGTTCGTCTTCTTTGTCTGTTTCCAACCAGATTGCGAGACAACAGCAGCAGCTTCTGCAGCAGCAGCACAAGATCAACCTCCTCCAGCAGCAGATCCAGGTCAGTCGCTCAAGCCTCCCACATTTCTCTCATCTGCGTAATTAGCCCATCGGTATTTCCACTACGAGCCAAATGTTTCACTTTAGTGACTCAGATCAATGAAATTAAACTTTAAAGTAAATATCACTGCTAGCATAAGTACGCCTCTCCGCTACTTTTTGTTCTTTTTTACTTTTGGGTGTCTTTTACCCTTTTATCTCTAATTCTTGTGTCACACTAACAGTCGTCATTCTCATCAAATGTTAATTGCCTGTTGGTAATCAGGAGGGTTTTAAAATATGGAGGTGAATAATTAGCACATCTTAATGAAAAAAAAAGAAGGGGGGAACGTAACAACAGCTAATGAGTTCTGCTGATGGAGGAGTGCTTGGAGGTGGGGGACATGAAAGGTGCTGGTAAACGCCTCTGAAATGAGTTGGTCCCTGAAGGGCGACACGCTTTCACATGGCAGAAAACTGCTGAAACTCCAGCCGCCTTCATGCAGTTGGCCTGTTGGAGCATTTTCTTTCCAGGTGTAAACATGCTAGCCTTCTGTAGATCAGAGATGCTGTCACGGACCATCTAGAAACAGCTGGAGATATTCAAAGTGCGCTGGACAACTTGTGTTTGGTCACTTTAGCAGTCAAGGCTGGGAGCTTACCTTTATGAAGCTACTGCTATCCCATCTGGGCATGTTTGGTGTGAGGCACATCCTTCTCCTCCTCCTCTTGTGCTCGTTCTTCCAACAGTCAGCTCTCCCTATTCTCTCCTTTCATTAAACATTGATTTGCAGCAAAATTGTGCTACAGCAACAACGCCAAAGTGTCTGAACTCACTGTTCAGCATTTCCAAAGAGATTTAAAACTGTTCACCTATTTAATGAGATGAGATTTGTCCAACTTTATGTTTGATGAATGCTTTTTGTGAAATTTCACTGCGGGTTTGTGTTTGTATCAGAAATAAGTTAAAGCAAGACAATGAAAAATGAACATTTTGTTGGAATGCTGGAATTAATCACCATCCGTGTGTGTGTGAGTGAATGACTCATGGTGCATGTCATGTGTGGTTTATGAAATTTTTATGTTGGGTCACATATTTGTGATAAACTTAAAGGAGTCATTCACTTGTTTTGTTTTTTCAACACATTTGCTGCGGTCACTAGTATAACTGAATGACTTATGAGTCATTTTCTGTGGAAAAATCTGCGGTGCTCCTGTTTAAGGGGAAGACATTAGCCGTGGGGGGGGGGGGGGGGGGGGGGGGCAGAAAATGAAGAAGAAGAAAGTATCATTTCTATAGCACCTCTCAAGATAAAAATCACGAGGTGCATCAAATGACAGTATTACCAGACGTTGTCATGATATGCAAATGTCTCTGATTGGCTAAGAGCAACGCAACTCTTCCGCTGCCTCCATTTGCTGCCTTCGTTTGCTGGTGTCTTCATTTGCTGCCTCACTTTACTGCCTTTGTTCGCTGCCTTCATTCACTGGTGTCGTCATTTGCTGCTTTCATTCACTTCCTCACTTCGCTGGCTTCATTCGCTGCCTCTGTCTGCTGCCTACGTTCACTGCCTCTGTTTACTGCCTTCGTTTGCAACCTTCATTCGCTGCCTTCGTTTGCTGCTTTCATTCGCTTCCTCACTTCGCTGCCTCTGTTTACTGCCTTCGTTTGCAGCCTTCATTCGCTGCCTTTGCTTGCTCTTCTTTCTTGGGTAAAAAATGCAACTTTGGCATGTTCTCTCCCCAAACAACACAAGCCAGAACATGTTCTGCCATGTTTTAAAGTTGCTAAAAGTTAGCTTCTTCTAGCCGAGACACGATAACGTTGAGAAATCAATTAACTCAACATTTCATTCAAGTCGGAAGTGTTTTGGAAAATGTATTCTATATTACAACTGACTAAAGACAAGCACAATCCATTGCACTCTGTGTGGAAAACACTCCTAAATGAAGTACCTTATACACTCCTGAGGAGCTAGAGAGACTCGTATCAGAGAGGACCCTTTACTTATGCTCATTGAGCATGAGGGCACAGCCCTTAAACATCTCGCATTAAGAGCCTCTTGATTTCATCACACATTTACAGGCAAATGACACCTGAAAATTCCTCTTGATGCATAGATTTAAAAGAGCTTGGAGATTTGAGGGAGTACTGGAATGCACTTTCAAACACTTGAACAGAGATACAAGCTAGGTCCTTTCTTACAGAGCCCAGTAATATCCAGCTTTTCCCTTGACAGAATGCCCACTGGATCGTGTGGAGGAAAAAAAGAAAAAAGTTCATCCACATTTAAGTGAAAGAATCCCACTTTCAGGCTATCTGCTCCACTGGCCGTGCGCCTCCCCTGACTTCCCTCGGTGGATACCACCCAAGTTTCGCCCTGTGGAACATTGTTTATCCAACAACAAGTTATTTAAAACAGAACACGTTCTCTCTCCCTAACCCCGTTCCTTCACATATCCAGAGAGCTGATGAAGGGTCAAGGCCAGTAGATAAGAGAGTCAGGGCCAAACTGGTCAAGTATTTTCTGCCCCTCTTGTTTCTGCCTCTTAAAAGTGTCCTGGCCATTTTAATGCATAACAGCTCTGACTTAATTACTTCTGTATACAAGCTTCCAGTCTGCATGTAACAGACTTTAAGCAAAGCGGTAAGCAGCGCTGTGGGATTGAGTTACTCTGCTGTTAGCATGGAGTGCACTAAACTTTATTGGAGACCCTACTGCTATCAAAGTCCTTCTGTTTGGCTTCAGGGAGAGGGAAGAGCCTCTTGCTTAGGCCTCGTATTGATGATGTGAGTGATCACATCGTGAACATTGTAAACAGCTCCAACAATAAAACCACAGGCTCTGCAACCGGAGACTGCCGTTGGCACGCCATGTGTGTGCTTTCAAGGGCTTGCTGCATGAAGGCTGAATCGCTCAGAAACGTGTGTGTTTGGAGGTTTAGCTGCTTTGGAGCAAGGCAGCATGAAATTCAATTAAAGCTTCCTTTATGAATAGCCGTCTCTTTTTATCCTTTTCTTCATCGCATTTTAAGAGAGAGGGGGAGAGATTTATTCTTTGTCCCACCGGATTACAATGTCACTTGTTTTAAAATAGCAGATTGAAGTGTTTGGGGCTTATCAAAAATTAAAGCTCAAGGCTTTGTGTGCTCTGCCCCTCAGCATCTTAGTGTCCCTTCAGTCCGGCCCCGCGTCACTGGAATAATCTTGGCACTAATTCAATCCCAGGATTAGATTAACTGATTTTAGTTGGGAATTTGAAACACCACTCAGGATTTTACAGGATGCATGCGACACTTTAACAAATATATTAAAAGATAAGTACTTTGTCTAAGAAGCTGCTTATCTCGCTGAGGTTTTCTAGCTGCAGGGAGGTTACAAAATAAAACAAGTCTTTTTTTTTCATCTTTGATTTCTGGAACCCATCTTTATGAGAAATACCACCTCACCTCAGATTTCAGATTTCAGATGTATTGGCCAAGTAAAATTACATTTACAAGGAATTTGGCTTCGGTAGATGTTCGCTCTCTAAAAACATACAACAACCACAATAAATGAGAATAAAAATACCTAAAAACACATAAGAACATGTATACCCACACACCTACACTAACAAGCTGTAGTTTGGGTGTTTTTCCAGAATTTAGAGACGCAAACTCGTATAAATCACCAGGTGTGCACATGCACGGAGGTGATTGTGTGCAGGAATACATGCACACTGATACACACATCAAGAGGATAAAGCTGACTGAAAGGTCAGGGTGAACTTTATCTTCATAAGCAGACAGGAGAAAGCTAAGCTCCCTAGATGAAACAGGGGGATACTTTTAATCCAGAACATTTAATTTAAATTTTAAAGATCATTAAACATCATTAGAATGCCACAATATCACAACATTGTTGTGTGTCTAATTCACACGCCCAACATCTGAAAATAAAACTAGGATGTTACTATAGAGCATGTGCATTTTTTAGATGTCGTTTTGTTTATTTCAAATTAACCCGTTGTCCTTCTGCTCGTGACCTGGCCTTAAACTCTAATCATCACAAAAGACATTATCTGTGCCTGAACATCCTACCTTTGACCCGGTGGCCTCGAGGGCACATAAACACAGCATGAGCCTATCTCTGCTGTTTAAAATTGGTAAAAAGGAGATTAAAAGAAGGAAAGGCCAGTATACTGTCGTCTACTGCACACTTCAAAGCCTCAGGGGCTTTCTTACATGTCTTTAATGGTGTGGAGAAACAGTGGGGGTGCATTCAGATGTTAAAAATAAAGGTCCCAAGGTTTCAAAAAGAAGTAATTCCTCAACAATTGATAAGTGGAAATAGCTTTATGTATAAACGTTGCAAATATTTAAAACTAAAAAGGATTAAAAGACAAAAACGATGAAAAAAAACTCTCAAACTCATTAAATGCAGTTAAAAGTTGAAGTAAAGAAATAGCTTGAATATTTGGGTGTTTGAAAGGTTATTCTGCAGCTTTTCTACCACAGAAGGTGGGTTTAAAGCTGCAATGGCAAATCTGGAAAACAAATGGGCTGAAAATATTTTTTCAAATATAGCTGTGATTAAATTGTGGAAACTAAAAAAACAACGAAAATAATAAAAATTAAAGTGATTCTCTCGCAGTTGTATAAAAACCTCCGCCAATAACACGTTTAGCACCGAAAGCAACTATTGGACCACTCGGTTGTTGGTTTCACTGAACCACCGCACTTCCCTGCGTCCTCCATTCAATCACACACTCACATATTTAGCAACAGAACACCACTGGTGTGAGAGGTCCTCCACTTGATAACATCAGAGGAGGAGAAAGAGTCGGCTGCTACCACTTCAACTTTAGCACCATCTACCAGAGTCCAAAAAAGAAAAACACCGTTTGAAGTCACGGACAACGAAAGATGTTTGGGCCTAGAAAACAGCGACTGGTGTTTTGTGCTATCTCGTTTCCTCTGGCGATTCAGGCTACCAGATCCGGTTGACGCGGATCCAGGGAAGGTACCGGAAGAGCAGGGGTC